ACGAGGGCGGCGTCTCCGGCCTGTGAGCTTGTTCTCGTGGTGGCGTGGCCGTCGGAGTGGTCCATCCTTGGAGTACGGGGCGGCGTGGTTATCCCATCGGTCCCGTGTCGTCGTGGGAGCCCGGAATGCCTCGGAGTGGGCGTGGCGTGACGTGCAAGCCAAGCCATCGTGGGCGGGCACGGGCGTCTTGCGACGCCGAGAGGCTTGAGTCGATGCCGAGGCTCTGCACTACGGTGGGGGGGTCTCGGCAGCACGTACCCCAAGATCGCCGAGGCCCCGGTTATCTGTCTTGCCGAGGCCTTGAGCGAAGGACAATTCGATCATGGGTACAACGTTTGACCTGTTTTGGTCGGTAATCCCGTCGTACCCTTTCCCCGGCCGATGGGTCTTGATCGTGATCAGTTACAAAGCGGTAGGGCACGATGGTCGGTAATCCCCGCTTTATCGCGTCCTTTCCCGGCCCGGTATGGTGCTTGATCGTGGACCAAATGGTATGACACGGCTGCTTTGTCCGTTGAAATATAATATGATATGTCGACCTCGGGTCGCGTCGGCCATCTGTGGCGTTGAGCCACCGTCCGTGAGATTATGGAGTGGTTGAAGCATTAATGAGACATGGCGAGTCGTTGGGGCTAGGTCGGCTCGGCGGCGATCGGCGACACGGAGAACGAGGCCTCGCGATCGTAGTGGAGAATGAGGCCTCAAGCACACGGAGAATGTGCCCTAAGAGGCCTTCCTGGATAGCCTCGGGCGAGACGAGAGACAGGCGTCCCCCTGCCGAGGCCCGGCTACCAGCCGAGGCCTACCTTGGGAGCCTCAAACGAGGCGGAGTTTGTTCCGAGACCTCCCTTTCGAGGCTCGAGGCGAGGTGGAGGAGGGCTCGGTCGTGGCAGGTGAGGGGCCCACGGCTTACCTTCTAGCTTTGTTTTGATGTTTGATTGGGGTACCCCGTTCTAAGGTACCCGACAAGTTTACATTTAATACTCTATGCGTGTGTCAAATATTTGATGGGACAGAACCTAAAATTTAGGAAGAGAAACCAAACATCCCCTTAGTCCACACCCACACAACAAAAGGCTAGTAAATAAATAGCCCCGTTCAAATTACCCCATATTCAGTTTATTCGGCTTATTTTTTCAGCTGAAACCGTATTTTTTTTGTTACAACAATTCAACCAGCCAATTTCAATCTTAATACCAGCGAACGGGTCCATCCAACCCATCCCGAGTCTAAGCAGACGTATGTGGATCTTCGGCTCTTCGCCGTTCAGTTGCCGCATGTTGTGCGCTTGTTTGTTTCAATAGTGTTTTGCTATGATTGCGGATCGAGGCGATGGTTGATCCACAGGTGACAGGAGGCGCAAGTGGCGAGCGGTTTCAGTCCTGCTAATGTGAGGCACGGGCGCAACCTGATGAAGGGCCTGTTTGATGTTAATGTATTCATCTTAATTTATATGTGTTAGGATGGATTAAAGTGAAATTAAATTAAATTATATTTTATTCTATCTCAACACATGTGGATATAGGTGGATACATATATATTTAAACAAGACCGAAGTGTTTTCCAGAAATACACAGATGCATGCATTTTTTCATGAGACGTGTGTGTATATATATATAGACGTACTGTTGTGTAGCTGGCCACAGAATAAATTATTTTGTGGTCACTTTGAGGTATGATAATTACTATACTAATTTATGAGATTATAGTAACTCTCTCATAAGTGATTTACTATAACATTATGGTAAGTATCATCTTAAATTATAGTAACCCATATATCGTAAATGTGTATTGTTATTATCGTAAATTGGTACAAATATTATCGTAAATTAAGGTCATATATGGAGAGTATATTCAGTAGCCAGCTATAAAATAAGTTATTCTGTAGCCACCTCCATTTACAATAATTTATATACTAATTTACGATAATGTCAATACATATTTACGATAGTTCGATTAGTATAACACATGAGGATATTTACCATATCGTTATACAGCCTGTTCAGGAGGCTGTATCGTATCGTGGATTATTTACTGCTGGCTGGTTTGGTGTGAGAGAAAAACACTGTTCCTGGCTGGAAATTTACGATCGTTTACGAGCAAGCGAACAGGCTGATAGTAAACCACTTAGTAAGAAGTTACTATAATCTTATAAATTAACATAGTAATTATCGTAATTTAAATTAACTATAGATTAATTTATTTTGTAGCCAGGGTACTATAACTCGAGATTGAATCAAAAAGGCTAGCGACACGCGAGGTAATTTGATGGGATCCATCAGATCAGATCCACAAACATCGGCCTGAACTAGGATTGGACATGGGTAGAGTTGACCGAATTAATAATTTAAGGGTGTGTTTAGTTCACGAAATAAATTTTTTAACGTCATATTGAATATTTTAGGAACGTCGGAAGGGGTTTTCGGATACTAATAAAAAAATAATTACATAGCTCACCTGGAAACTATAAGATAAATTTATTAAGTATAATTAATCCATCATTAGCCCATATTAGTACTGTAGCACTTATAGCTTAATCATGGGCTAATTAGTCTTAAAACATTCGTCTCGCGATTTCCAACGAAACTGTATAATTAGTTTTTTCGTCTATATTTAATACTTTATATATGTGTAGCAAAAGATTCAATGTGATAATTTAGGGTGAAAATTTTTAGGAGCTAAACCAAGCCTAAATTAACGCAAACTCATCGCGACTGGTCGCGCTGCGTCGCTTTCGCGCGACAGCAGGCCACGACGGCGCAGTACAAGGCCGCGACGGGCCAGCCCAAGTACCAATGCAATGCGGCAGGTCTTTCTCATTTTTTTACTGATACTCAAAGGCTCTCAACCTCCAGTACCCCACTTTTGGTAGTTTCAGTTTTATTTTTAGGAGTATTTTTTTCATCAGTCTACTTTAGTTTTCATTTTCTATTTGTTAATTTCAGTTTTTTTTTAATTCTCCATGCTTGTTTCAAGCTGCCTCATGTAGTCCTGATCATAGTTATGTGGGATCATTCATTTTTTTCATTGTTTCTTTTATTTTTAGTTAAATGATTTTTTCAATGGTTTTTAAAATTTAAGTTTTCAGTCAAGTTTTTAAATTTTCTTAAGTTTCAATTTTTGGTATCCCTTTTAGGTTCGAATGTATTCCTAAATCCTACATATTAGTTGTATAATAACTTACCCTCTAAGTTGGCATTTTATGCAATGCTTCTTCTAATAATTTGCTTCTCAAGGTACAACTTGTCTTATTTTTGGTCGCTACTCTTATCTTTTTTTTTTAATAAATGTTCCTCCAATTCTATATAACAAATTTATTATATTCCCATGGTAACAATCGATGCGCGTACCATGTAAATTAGTATATTTTCGGAGTAGCAAGTTTAATATTTCATGGTAGCAACTTCTTTACAAATCTCCTAGTACATTTTACACGTAAATTGCTACTAAAATAAAATTCTTTGAAACATAGGAAAGTGGGGTATAGTTTTTGTTCGCCTTGTCACGTAGAACATTTCGGTGCAAACGAAATTAAAAACAGATACATGATTCAAAAGTTATAACAATTTAAATAAATTTCTGTTTGTTGGTTTTTGTGCCGCCTTAGACCACAAACAAGCAGTAGGCTGTCGGAGTACGGGCGCATGGCAGCAGGCTGCGCATGTGTGGGTCACGCGCTGATGTTCTCCATGTCCTTATTAATTACATGCTTGTGTTAAGATTTGTGCATATTTTTCAAAAGGACCGTCGAAGCAAAACTCAGATTGATTTACTCCAAAAGGTCAACGGAGAGGTCACGTGGGGGCATATGCCCCCTCCATATGTTTAAATTTTCTTTTCATAACTATGGCCCATTGCTCCACTCTAATTTTGGGTTTAACTGATACCACCACATGATCAACCTAATGAGCTTAAAATCACAGGTTAGTAACTCGCAAGTCGCAACTTCAACAGCGATAGGGAGATCCATATGGGAAGTCACATGCACCGTAGAAACCGCAACACTACTTGTCCAAATAGAAGCCCGTGTATATAGAACAAAAATTCCATCCAACCTGATGGTTGCCGCATGTACAGCGTGGGAGGTGACAGGTGAGCCGAATATACTGGAGCCGAGTGAGAGCCGAGCCAAAGCACAGGTGGACACCCGACGAGGACAGACGTAGATTCCCACGTGGTAGTCAATGAGAGCGTATATGCACGGAAGCTGAGTGCATGCTGTATGCACAGATCCCATATATCTTTCTCCAGCAGTCCAACAGAAAAATGACTTCTCAGAGATCCAGCCATGGCGGACGCCGAACTTGGACGAACTGCCGGTGATTCGCTGAGGGATGCTCTCAGGATTCAAGGTATGGCAAGCGCCGTACCTCGCCATATCGGATCCTCCGCCCCTGTGGAGCTCGTCGTGGCTTGGGCAGGGGTTGCTGGCCGTGGAGAACTGGTGTAGGTTTGATCCAGAGCATGCATGGTCTTGGATAGAGCGACGACAACCCAGAAGGCGGAGGAGGCCAGGATTGAGCGGCGACGTACAAGGCTAGGGGAAGAAGATTGATTGGTGGTCGATTGCGAGGCAACGACGACTCCTTTCCTTTAGGCGGAGTCCCCCACCGCGTGATGTTGACGCTCGAAATGAAGGGCGGGCCGCGGCTGCCTCACGCGTGACGTGTAAGGCTTTGTTTTTTATGCGAGGTAACCGCCGAGGCATCGACATCCTTGATCACGCGTCACCTCGCCATTTGCGAGCGGCAACAGAAGGCGCTCTGTTCTCCATGCACCGGATTCTCCCACGGGCAGAGCCGCAGAGATCTTACTGTATTGATTGACAGGTTATTAGCTTCCATGTTTAGGATTAGGAGAACAGCTTGCCGCTCATATTTCCTTCCATTAACAATTCACAATCACAATTGATTACCGTAATTGTAACCAAATCTTGGGCTATAAAAATGCAAATCACACTCTGTACTTGTCCACCAAAATCATCGGAGAACACGTACACCATGGCCACTCCTCCATCCGTGCTCCGCCTCGTTGCCGTGCTGCTCGCCGCCAGCTCCGCCCTCCGATCCACCGCCGCCGCCCGCCACGAGAAGACCACCCATCTGCACTTCTTCCTCCACGACACGCTGAGCGGGAAGGACCCGAGCGCGGTGCTGATCGGCCGCGCCGCCGGGCGCGACCCGAGGCCCGACGACCCGGTGCCCTTCAGCTCCCTGTACGCCACCGACGACCTGCTCACCGAGGGCCCCTCGCCGCAGTCCAATGTGGTGGGCAACGCGCAGGGGCTGTGGGTCTCGTCCGGCAGGGGCAAGCTGTCGCTCGTCCTCGGCATGGACTTCGAGCTCACCGACGGGCCCTTCAACGGCAGCGCCTTCGTCGTGTACTCGCGGAACACGGTGACGCGCCCCGTCGGCAGGGAGCTCGCCATCGTCGGCGGCCGCGGCGCGTTCCGGTTGGCCCGTGGGTACGCCGTGCTCCGCACGCATTTCCTCGACAACAACAATGGCGACGCCATCATAGAGTACAACGTCACCCTCGTCCACCCTTAGAGTTCCTTCGCCGTTCATGCATGCTTGCGTTGTAGTTGTAGCACAATAACTTGTACACATGTACCGAGTACAGTATCATGGAACTCGAGATGTGTTTTGTTTGTCACATTGCATACGTGGAGATGGAGTCGTCGTTTATTGCATGCAGATTGATGCAACAAAGGCAGTACAGCAGAGCCTAGCTTATTCTTCTAGGGACGAAGAGAGGCGCGTCAATGGCTTCATGATCATGCACTGCACACGCCTCTCCACGTCGCACACGAGCACAAACACCGACCACACGCGCGTTTATAATGGTAAAACCACTGAAGAATGAATGGGAGGCAAGCACCATTGCCACAGATCGACAGGCGGGGAGAACCTCTAGACTTCGACCTCCAGGTTCCATCTGTAGAACTCCTGCTCCGGCACGGGGATGTGGAGCGCGACGAGCCCCGTATCGGCGTCGTAGCTGAACTCCACCTCCGCCGCGTCCAGCGTGCACCTCGCGGGCCTCCGCGAGCAGTACGCGCCGAACCGGCCGCAGCCGCGGACCCTGAGCGCGACGACGGCGGTGCCGCCGTCCGTGGCGCACTGCTCCACCGCCCCGCCGGAGTTGAACATGTCGAGCAGGCCGATGGGCGCGAACGACACGCCCGGCGCGACCGCCCTGACGGGGGAGACGTGGAACACCTCGAACTCCAGCACCCTGAGCGTCACGGGCAGCGTGGCACCCCCGGGCAGCCTGACGAGCTCCCCCGACCTGTAGGCGTACACGACGGACTCGCCGTTCCAGCCGGGCCCCGCGAGGCCCGCGATCGCGTCCACGTCGTCGGCGCGGACTGATCCCGTCAGCGTCCCCGGCGCGGCGTCGTGCACGCGGGTCTTCTTGGTGACGCGGCACCACCCGGCGCCCTGGCAGTTGAACACGCCCACCACGCCCGCGCACTTGTTCACGTTCCAGATCTTGAGCAGGCTGCGCAAGGTCACGTTACATTACATTGCATTGCAGCTAGGCGGTTGCCCAGGAAAACGATGGACGATCGCCGGCCGCGTGCTCTGCTCACCTGGTGCCGTCGCGCGCCGGGTCGGCGAAGAGGCAGTCGCGGGTGGGGCGGCCGGGGAGCTGCGCGCGGAGCACGGAGCCGTCGGGGAGGACCAGCTTCTTGAGCAGCTCGAAGTTGTGGTTGCCTGGCTTGTCGCTGCGACAGAGACACACGTGAAAGCAGAGTGTTACTATTAGGAACCACAAGTCGCTTCTTCGGTTCACGCAGACAGAGACGTGTCGTGACCAGACGGGGTGGCGCGCCGGCCGCCGGGAGGCGTGCCGGACGGCGACACGAGCAGCCACAGCCGTCGTGTCGCTGTTGGCTGGTCATGGCGCGGTGCGCGCAAGCCGTGCAGACTGCTACTCTAGCTTGTGTGCCAGGCAACTCAATCATTCTGTTTCCCCTGTCTCGAGGGTTCGATCATTGTGCCGGCCTGGCTGCGACGGACGCCGCGATCGACAGCGAAATCGGAACCACGACATCGTTCTGATCAGGAGCTGGTTATCAGTCTCACCTGACGTAGATCGGGCAGCCGCCGATCGCCCTCGCCGCGCCGTGGTACTCCGCCGCCGGGTGCAGGCTCTGCATCCAGGCACATTTAATAATTCGTTCATCATTCAGTCATCGATCGATCACTCAAGTACAGTACAGTACACAGGAGTCAGGAGAAGAAGAGACTGAGACGTACATGGAACATGTCCCAGTCGGGCTGCATGAACTCGCCGAGGAAGAGGGTGTTGTAGGCGACGGAGGAGACATGGACGGTGTGCGACGCCGGGTCGCGCGGGTAGAAGTCGTCGGAGGCGCGGACGACGGCGGTCTGTCGCGCGCTGTAGAGCATGTCGGTGTTGTGGCACATGCAGGAGATGCATCCGTTGTCGGGGAAGTTGCGCGCCACGGAGGCCTCGAGCGCGCGGTGGTAGGCGCGGGTGAGCGCGACGCGGCCGCCGTGCCCCGCGCCGAGCGTCTCGATGATGTTCTGCACGTCCACCTTGACGCCGTCCACGCTGCAGGAGGCGAGGTACGAGTGCAGCTCGTCGTAGAAGCTGAGCACCCTGCGCGGGTGCACCAGGCCCAGGCCCAGCACGGAGAGCGAGTCCATGACGATGTCCGCTGGTTGCCCATCACCCCCGGCGACTGCACCGGGTACGCCAGCGCGCTCTCGTAGTGCTCCATCCCTTCCGCCGCGGGTTTCACGCCGCCCCAGTACCCCGCCATGGCGTGCCACACGTACACGTACTTCACGCCGTGATCGCGCTTCGCCTCCTCCACCAGCAGCTTCAGCCCCGGCGTTTGCGTCTGCTCCGCCGCGTCGGCTTGCTGCTCGCCGCCGTCCTTGTCGTCGTCGGTCGTCTTCTTTTCCTTCTTCTGGAACTTGGCGTTCTCCTTGATCCCCGTCAGCCTGCTGGCGAACCTGCACGACACGCACCATTCCAGACCAAATTGAGCTTGGCTTGTTCACCGGAGCAGAGCTGGCACACACCAAGATTGATGGCGACGGCGGTCACGTACTGCGCCCCTTCCTGGACAACGGCGTTGTTGGACTCCTCCTTGTTCTCGCTGCCGATCTGCTGCCACCCATCGTCGATGATCAGGAACCGCGGCGGCGTGCCACCCTCCGCCAAGCTGCAAAGTTGCTGAATGTGAGATTTTTTTACCATTCGAAAATAAACGCAAAAAACAAATAAATCACAAGATTACTTGGATCGAACTTTTTATTTTTACCTCTTGAGGCCTTGCTTGACGCCCTCGGTGGTGACGTCGGTGTAGAAGGCGTCCCACGTGCACCAGCCGAACCAGTCCACGAACGACGGCAGCTGCGCCACCACCACCGTCAGTTTCAGTTTCCCGCAAAGCGCAAAGCGACACCGCCCGGCTCGCCTCGCCGACGCCGGGCGGCCACTGCTCTATGTATCTATCTATTCTACTCCCTCCATATTAAAAAAAATAAAGTCGTTTTGCACCAGACTTGATCAAATATAAATTATGAATAACTTTTAAGTTGTTTGAGTTTGAAAATATGAAAACCATATATATAGATTTGTCTTGAAAAATACTTTCACAAAAATTTACATATATCACTTTTTGATAAATATCTTTATAAAAATAAGTAGTCAAAGTTATGCTTTGGAGACCGTATCGCTGTCCAAAACGACTTCATTTTTCAACACGGAGGGAGTACATTTTTCTACTGTACTAGAGTCACGTGAGTGACTCAACAAGCTGTTCGAAACCGTACCTTTTTCTTCTCCCTGTGATGGAACGTCTGCAAGTGCCTCTCCACCACCCTGCGTCCATTTTTTTTCACGCATCAAAATATTTTTTTTTTTTTAAAAAACATGGGCCTCGCTAAAGTGTCTGAATTTTTAGGTTTTTTAGGCAACGGTTATTATATATTTTTATATTAAAATATAGTTTTAGTTCATTGTAATTTCTGTAATTATTAGTTCACGAATAAAAAACTCGTTAGACAAAATCACAAACCTGACAAAATCTGATTTGTGTTGGCACTAAGATAATTAACAATTTACAGTTATTATAGTTAGACAAGGATAAAAATTGATATGCTATGGCTATGACACAGAGACAAATATCAAATCCCAAAAATATCAATTTACTTATACTAATTGGTAAAAACGTGTTGCCTAAAATCATGTTAAAATTTAGGCTCGGTTACCCTGGAAATGACAGTGACTAATAATCTGAAAGCAGGTGAATTCAGTCTAGTAGAAGCACAGGTAAGAAAAAAAAACGCACTTGACGGCCTGAGTGATGGTGTCGAAAGGGTTGGTCCCGGCGTGCACGTACACCATGTAGGTCCCCTGCGCCGTCTGCACCGCCTTGTCCCCTGCTCACGGTCACGGCACGGGCACCCGATCCCCGACCAAGGAATAAAATATCGGCGGCGCCGGCGACCCAACACCAGTCACGCACGCACGTCAGTCTCGTCTTCACGTGAAACACAGGACAAAAAGAAAGCGCCTAGCCAGCCAGGTCATGCTGCTAGCTTACCGCTCTCGAGGGTGATCTCCAGCTCGTCGCGGTCGTTGCCCTGCAGCGCCGCCCGGAACTGGCCCTCCAGCAGCGGCAGCATCACCACGTACACCGCCTCGCCGCCGTCGTCGCCGCCGGTGGTGGCGCCCGTTCCCGGGCGGCTCTCCAGGAGCATGAACTGCGTCTCCAGAGGGACGTCGCGCCCGGAGGTGCCCATGCGCTGGGTCATCCACCACAGCTTGAACCGGAAGCAGCACATGAACCGCAGGTCCCTGCCACACAACGCACGCACACACAGTAATTACCTCGAGATAAAAATAAAAGTAAATACAGGAATTTCTTTATAGATGCAGATGAAGATGAGAAAGAGCAAGCGGATAAAATAATGGCCAAGAGATGGACGAAACGGGAGGACGACGACGTGGTCACATGTAGCTTGAGAGCTAAGTGTCCTGAACGTTCCGGAACACAGGAGATTCTTGCACCCACCCTCCCCCCAATAAGCACAACAAAATCCCGTGCTCTCGTCACATACTGCTTGCTATAACACACAGAAAATTCTAGATTTACCAGCCCAAACTAACATGGCATCTGGTGGTGGTGATGCTCACCGGAGGGTGCCAAAGGTGAAGACGTGCATGCTGCTGGGCTCGGCGGCCGTGGCGCCGACGAAGGCGCCGTCGACGAGCCCCGCCCCGGAGGCGTGCGTGAGCGTGATGTTGTCCGCCACGCCGGTGAGGATGGTCCGCCCGTGCGCCACCAGCCGCCCATCCCCCACCGTAATCCTCGGCGTCACCGTCATCTCTCTCGCCTTTCTCGCTCGGGCGCCGGACAGCGAACTGGACGCCACGCACTGGAATATATACCCTGCCCTCCTTTGTCACAAGCTAATTAGTAATTACTGTGTGTGATTAGCTTCCAGTCGCGCTTAATCACGCTGGCTAGCCAGTGATGATGAGAAGCCCTCGCAATCAGGACTGGACTGGGGGGAGGAGGGGAGGGCGCTGGGAAGGGCGAGCTTTATATAGCCGGGGCTGGGGGTGTCTTGTGCCGGGCAGGGCTGACACGTGGCACTCCGTAAAAACAGATGTTTCTACCCTTACTCCGGCGAGGCTTGGCCGGTGCACTTCATGCTTCTGGAGGAGGAGGAGGAGAAATATCTTGGGCTCTCGCGCGTGCTCCAGCCATGAGATTTGGTGACGAAGGATGGGGATCTTCGGAGATGGTTGCAGAATATACAGGCTACTCAGCTCTAGTTGTGTACTCTCTCAATCTAACTGGCGTGTGGGCCCCGGAGGAGAGATTTTATGTGTGGTGCTCCTTTTTGGGTGTCCCTCGTGAAGGATCCAGAGTGAATGTTCCAGCCTTCCAGCTATGTTGAATCCATGATGATTTGTGCCTGATTTTGGTGTATCTTGGTGTTTTGTCAGCTCGCTGTTGGAATCGTTTTCCTGAAGCTTTGGAGGGTGCTTTGCTGTATTTTTGAGGCACTACTTTTTTTTTGGCAGATTATCTGCAAGCAAAACCAGAATGGATTTCTGAAGAACTTCTGTATAATAAGAACAACACGGACTGGTAACGAAACTGATGGTGCGAGAGAAGTTTAAGTGACTAACTCTGGAAACTTTGCATATCGCACTGCCCTCCAGACACCAAATAATTTTGCTAAGATTTGTACTTTTGGAGTATCCTTTGCTGTTATTGTACTCTCTGTTGTTGCATTGTCTCGAAAGCCTTGTCTGAAGAACCATTGAACAAGAACAACACTGTCTGATACTGATAGTGAAAAGAGAAGAGATTGTCAAACTATCCACAGCTTTGCTACGTTTCTTTGACATGTTAAAAGCAACTAAGAGCATCTCCGAACAGTAGTCCTCAAATTAAGGTCTCTACTTTTGATTTGAGGAATTCCTCTATTTTCGGATTATCTGCAAAACCAAAAATGGTTTTCTGAAGAATTTCAGTACAATCTGGTAGCGAAAACTGATGGTGCGAGAGAAGTTCAAGTGACCAACCTTGGAAACTTTGCATATCGCACTGGCCACCAGAGAGACCAAACCATTTTGCTAAGATTTGGAGACTTGGAGTGTTCTTTGCTGTTATTTTGAGGCACTATTTACTCTCTTCTGTCGCATTGTCTGAAGAACATTTGAATAAGAAAGAACACCACTGTACTGTCTGATAACGAAAAGACAGAGATTGTCAAACTAGCCACAGCTTGGTAGGTTTTCTTAGACGTGTTAAAGCAACTAAGAGCATCTCCCAGACCAAGAGTACCCTATCTCCCTTCTCAATCCATGGTTTTTGATAAGATGAGAAAAATCCCTCTCCAACAACTCATAATATTTACTCCTAAAATTTACGCACTTGAAAAATCCTCCTCGTCGCGCATAACTTTGCGCGGAGTCCCGGTCATGTGGATACACGCGTATTCTTCGGCCAAGTAAAGAGTATGAAAGGGTTCCACATGTAAATGTACAAGAGAGAAATAATATATAAAATTGGTTAAAATAATTTAGAAGTAGTATAAGATTCATGATGTAAAATTATTTTCTATATTTTAGGAGTGAATTATTAGAAATTATTGGAGATGTCTTTCTTTTTTTCTCCGAATATATTTTTAGGAGTTGGAAAACATGAGTTTTTTTGAGGAAAATTTAGGATACTTTTGGAGATACTCTAGGATAGGAAACTGGAGTATTGAATTGCGGCCACAACTAAGAAACCAATCAACACTCGATCAATCATCTTCCACTCTACCAAATCAAATCTTTTTTTAAAAAAGGTAAAGGCAGGAGCTTTACCGCTCAATTAAGAAGAAGAATAAGGTTTATCTGTTTATGTAGTCAAATCTTTCTACCCTTTTTTTTTTGGAAAAAATTTGTACACCATTCTTACGAAACAACGGTGGAGCAGACGCCAAGCGTCGACGCCTAAGCAAACACCCATCTCGGCCATGATTGATTGGAATCTTTAGCACTTCATCTCCATACGGTACTAGTACATATGAGTAGTTCTGTTCCTCTGATTGATTGAGCATGTGTCTGTCTGTCTGACACGATGAGGTTTCGCTGGTTGTTAATTTCAGTTTCTCAGCCAACTTTAAACGCAAACCAATCCTTTTAATTGGCTCTCTTCAGGCCTGTTGGGAACGAATCACATTCCATGCACGCTTAGGCTTATCCTGTTTGATTTGAGACAGAATAATGTCTCAGCGCAAGCTCTGTAGTCTGTACTCAGCCTTCCGCAAATGCTGACACTTGGTTCGAAATCTTGGATGGATAAATGCGAAACATGTTTTGATTTCAGACATGTATGTAATTCTCATTTTCTTTTAAGGAATCAAATAATTTTCAATTTAACTAAATCGGTAAAAAAAACTAATGACATTTACAATAATGTAAAAAAGTATCGTTATCATAAAAATATATTTGTGTTTAGAGGCATAAATGTAGATATTCTTTTCTATAAACTCACTAAATTCACGGAAAATTGACACGGGTATTAGAATGCATTAAAACAAATTATTGAACGGAATGAGTGGCCTCATGATCCATCAATCACCGTACGTACTCCGGAGTATCGGACGCGTGTATCCAAATCCTCCCCTAAAGTTTACTTCGTATCTCATTAAATATTTGATACATGTATAGTATATTAAATATAGACTAAAAAATAACTAATTATATAGTTTGTGACTAATTTACAAGACGAATCTTTTAAACATAATTAGTTCATGATTTGACAATGTGGTGCTACATTAACACATGTGTTAATGATAGATTAATTAGCCTTAATAAATTCGTTTTGTGGATTACCGACTCGGATTCTATAATTTATTTTTTTACTAGTATCCGAACATTTGATGCGACACTCTCATTTGATAACTGATGTGACATCCCAAATAAAGAAAGACCCCAGATATCATGACAAGCAAAGCAAGGCGTGCAGCAGAGACACGTCGGCGGGACGTCCGCGGCAAGCGGTGCATGATTGATTGATTGCCATCGGATTCGGATGGAAAATGCCGCCACGCTGGACCAATCCCCTGTAGTACGTTTGCAATTTGCACCCCATCATTGCCGCGGCACCGGCTTCTGGGTCTACTGCATCATTCACTGTCAGACTGTCACTGAGCTCGCAGCATGTGGCAATACCGCAATAACAGTCAATTCTCCGGCGACCAAACGGACGGGTGTCGTTCATTCGTTTTAGGCCTGATTGGTTCCTTTGGTCCGCGGACAAAAGTTTAGTCCCTGGACAACAGTTTAGTCTGGATCCTGTTTGGTTTCATGGACTAAGGTCTATTAATGTAGTTGTATAAAAACAATGTTACCCCTATTGAGATGAAGATATTACAGCTACTGGCCGCACTGCTGGCTGAGTAGAACCCATTCACCCCAAAACATTACAATTGCTCATACATTCACAAAAATACTCATACATTTAAAAAAAATGTCCATACACTTAAAAATCATCACAGCTATGATATACTAAACAAACCATTAGCTATCCAATCACGGATTGATTCATGATTTGATTTTCGTCCCCGTGTCGTGTATTAGCAACATTTGCTTCGGAAGATGATGGCTCGGTGAATGGAACATAGTTTTCATCATGATCAACCTAATCAAAGTCCGTATCCCCCAAAAAACTATCTCGAATGAAATTATGAAGTGCCATGCATGCAAGAATTATTTGACTTTGCTTTGGCATCGATAACTTGGTAGATCTAACAAAATCCTCCACTTCATCTTCAAAACTCCAAAAGACCGCTCGATGACATTACGAAGTGAAGAATGTGCATAATTAAAATGCTCTTTTTTACCTCTTGGCATTGGGCCTTGTCGATACTCCGGGAGATGATACTTTGTACCCTTGTACGGTGCAAGATAACCCGATCGATTTGGGTACCCCGAGTCGACAAGATAGAACTTGCCTACACATTCAATATTTTTTAATGTAAGACATGCAAAGTATTGAAAAAAATGAGAAAAGAAGACAGAATAGAACACGTCACTACCTTGAGGTGGATGTGGAAACTTGTCTCCATATTTCTCAATTGCATCTTTGAACACCCTCATATCATGAACTGAGCCAGGCCATCCCGCTACGACAAAAATAAATCTCATATCGAAGTCACATATGGCCATCACATTCTGACTTTGTATATTCATGTTGTCATATATGTTGGACTATCTTGCTAGTTGGTACCACAACAGGGACATGCGTCCCATCAATTTCTCCAATGCAATTGTCAAAGAATGGAGAAAAACGAGGAGATTGCAACGTAGGATGCACATTCTTAAATTCAGGGTCTACTGGCCTAATGATATCAGCTGCAAGCTTGCTCACACTATACAGTACTTTATCAAACTTCCTACATATTGTCTCCAGTGACCTAGTAAGGGCGCGTTTAGATGGCGAAATTTTTTGGTTTTGGCTACTGTAGCACTTTCGTTTGTATTTGGCAATTAGTGTCTAATTATGGACTAATTAGGTTTGAAAGTTTCGTCTCACAATTTGTCACCCAACTATGCAATTAGTTTTTTTCGTCTACATTTAGTACTCCATGCATGTACCGCAAGATTCGATGTGACACTTTGGAGTGAAAATTTTTAGGAACTAAACAGGGCCTAAAATGATCTTCAACTTGTCTGACAGACTGAGGGGCACCACATATCCACAAAACAGCCCTAAAGCCTCCATAGATGACATCCTCTTTGTGGACTTCAAACCATATGACTCAACTAGCAAACTGTGAAGCTTGTCAAACACACACCTACTCATTCTAAACATGTT